ATTCGTTGACGACGTCGCAGTATCAGATACAAGCGGCCGCATCGTCGTCTCAATCTCTTTCGCTCGTCCTATAACTGGATCAAGCTTACCCTCATTTGCAAGTCTAGAAAGGTCGCGCGAGAACTTATCCAGTTGCGGGGTATTTGTTTTACTCTCCACGCGACCTTCTTTGGCACCTTTGCCAACGACTTTAACCGTTTTTTGACGCAAAGCCTGAGGTGTTAAGCCATACCTACGCAAAATTTCTCCAGCCAAACCTTCATCTTCTTCCGCCAGCGCGATCAGTAGATGCTCAGGCCCGACATAGCCGTGCCCTAACTCGCGCGCAGCTTGAAACGCGCTTTCTAGAACCGCCTTCACACGAGGTGAAACCATTACTTCAACCTGACCTTCTTCCGGCTCTCTCTCGTCACCCCTTGGTGTGTTCACCTCGATATAACCTTTAAGGTCATCCTTTGCCAGCTTGAATTGTTTTAGAATTTCAGCTGTTACATCACTATCGGCCAATGCGTACAACAGATGTTCCGTATCTACTTCACGGCGGCCAAATTTTACGGTGGTTTCAGCGGCCTGCTGAATTATCTCTTTGGTGTGTTCTGAGAGATAATCTTCCAAGTTAGTCGCTTCGCGGTCACGTGGCAGCGGATATCCCATGTCTGAGCTTAGCCTACTAAACTCACTAGGCAGATCGTCAAACATATTAAAGCCCCCGCCGCTAAATAGAGAATCGAACGGAGAAGCGGCACGGCTTTTACCTCGCAAACGGGCATGGTCCTGTTCACATAACTCCGTTATCTGCTGGCGTCCACCGCGTGAGGTGGTGATAATATGCGTCGCAGGCCTGTGCCCACAAATGTCACAAATTCCATTTCCCATCTGCTCCTCCCTTCTTTTTTGCCTATATCTCTATTTTACCGCTATGCGTACATCTCTTGAACCCCGGTACCAGTTTATGGCCAGTGCCGGGGGTGCCCCCGCAAAAAAGAGGATTTTTTGCGGGGTAAAGACCTACTCAGTTTCCGCAATGGAAGCCAGTTTGGCTTTTTGGCCTTTTTTGGGGATGCGGCCGCTTGTATCTGATACTGCTATG